AAATATTGATTGGATATTCGGATAAGATTAAAGTATTCATTTGATATTTCAGTTTATATTTTTGGTTAAAAATGATTTCACAGAAAAAAAAAGAAAAAAAACAAAATTGGTCGAATTATTTTCAAATGAATTCCAATCTAAAAATTACTTTAAAGTGTTAGATTTGAAATAGTAATTCATCGATTGAAAATGGATGATAATTGGTTACGGAATGATAATACTACTGGTTAGTTGTTTAATATTTTCTTTTTTTTTTTTTTTTTAATTCTTTGGTAAGATAGTATTTTAAGCTATAATAGAAAAGACATGTTATAGAAATGTCTCTATTAATAAATGATGATTTCGTTCAAAGTAACAGCTGGCATGGCATTTACAACTAACTTCACTTCTCTTACAGCAATAATAATGATGGAAAAAAAAGAAATACATAATTCATTGTCATTTTTCAAATTTTAATTTTGACAATATCCTTCATATTCATTTAGCAATCATTCTTTTAACCCTTATTCAGGCTTAAATCTCTTTTTTAATGAATTGTTAATTGCTTAAGTGGAAGTTAAAAGATTTAAAAGAAGCAAAGAACAATGGTGACAGTTTGTTTCTGTTGCATTCTGTAGTATAATGGTGTTGCTGTTGTTGATGACAGCGTCGATGATGATAATAATAATGATGATGATGATGATGATTGATGATGATTAATGCTGATGATGATGATTGATGGTGATGATAATGAAATTGCTGGTATTGCGATGATAATGACAATGGTGATGAGATTGTTGATAGTAACAATGATAGCGATGATGATAGTGATAGTGATGGTGCAAATGATGCTAACATTGCTAATGATGACGGTAATATTGTTATTCCTGCTGCTGTTGCTGACGATGATGATAGTGATGGTGATGCCGCTAACGATGATGATAACATTGATGATGGTGCTGTTGTTGATAATGACAGTAATACCATTACTGTTGCTGCTACGGATGATGATATGATGAATGAAACAATAGTAATGGTAATAATAATGATGATGATGACAATGATAATGATAATAGTGATATTCGAATGAGTTAATCAATTAGGAATGACATTTCTATCATTTTTCATGCATATAATTTTGGTTTTAATTCCGGAAATTATTCAGGAATATTCGGAATGGAACAGGCGTGTAGAGATGAGATTTGTATGACTGATAGAACATAAATCTGAACATTTCATTTAATTCATCATTTCTGAAGCTAATCAAATTGATTGATAATTGATATGATTCTCAATCAATTTTTCAAATTTTATCATAACCATTTCAAATAAACTTTTTTAATCGCTACGATTTCCTTCCACTCTTAAAGCAACAAATCGATAATGCAATTAATTAAAAAGTTCAAAGAATAAATCAATTAACCAAAGTGAAAACTTTCATTTGTCATACAATACATTCTAATTCATTTCATTTCTTTTCTTTCCTTCTCTTCATTTCATTTAAAATTTCATTTGATTTTTTATCAATTAATTTTATCGGAAAAAACTAATAATTTATTAGTTTAATAATTTTAATGACAATATAATAAATACTTATGATTGATTTATTTCTAAGATTTCACAGCTTAAATTACCTTTTGCTTTTTTTTTCACAAAACCTGAATTACCCAAGCAATTATTGTTCGCTAATTAATTAATCTCTCTTTAAAAAAAAAAAACAAAATGGAAAGATACATTTAATCTGAACAAAGCAATAGCAGAAAATTTTAGCACTTTTCTTGCACTAACATGAAAAAAGACAATATGATCGATACAAAGTAACCATTGGTTTCAAATTAAGTTCTTATTTAATTAAAGTAAAAGGAAAAAACTTTTTCTGTTAGCCAATGAGAAAGAGTTCTTCTTTTTTTACTTGAAAATGATGACACGTCCATTGTTGTCACACAGCTGTTGTCATCTCTATATCGATGTGAGGAATTGAAGTTGTTGATCTATAATATCTAAAATACTGATAATAATGATGATAAATTACTGATATCAATTATAATTGCAAAGTAAATATTTGAGAAATTGCCAAGTTGACAATATTTTGAATCTTGTATGATCGATCCATTTATAAGCCTATCTGGGCTGCTTTTGTATAGCCTAGCAATACATTCATATATATATATATGGACAGATTCATAACCCTGGTTATTAAATGTTAAGCATACGATTCTAACAAATGTTTATTGTTTCTAATAACTTCCAACTTTATTTTATTATAAATGAAATCTAAATTTTGAAGTAAATCTCTTGTCTAATTTTAATGTCATCCTAATTTTCTTTGTCACATGACTTTTCTTTTTTAATTTCTTTTTAATGTCACCATGTTCTATTGCTAAAATAAAACTTAAAGCTAACAAATGTTCATTTGATGCATATCAAGAATTATGTGATATTTTGATAAAAATAACAAAAAAAAAAAAAGAAAAGAAAAAACAAATAAATAAAATTGAAAACTTCGAAAAAATTTTTTCAAATACTTTGAATATTTAAAAGTTTCAAATGTCCAAAAATTTTCATATCAAATATCATATAATTCTAAAATTCAAATAATCAAAAAATAATTTCCAATACAGAGACACTTCAAAATATTTCAAAAGAGGAATTTTTTTTTCCATTTGGAGAAATAATGAAATTGTAAAATGTCATAGAAGAAAATCATTGGAAGCCTTAAATTTTATGATTCATTTGAGTATTCAGATTTAAGCGAAGCAGATGTTAGCAATATGCCATGTTGCATCCAAGAAAGAAGTAGCAACAGGTGCCAAGGAATATCGGGCACTTTACTTTAAATTGTCAAATATTTCTAAAGCTTTTCCTCTTATTTCTGATTCATAGCCTCGTCTAACCAACATTTAACATACTTTTTGCTAGTTAAGCATCATGACATACTAAAAGTTATTCTCAATCTTTACTTGTCAAACATAATTGTTCCTACTCAAATATCATATGATATCATTAGTTGATTCTCAATTTTTTTTTTCTGCTAATTAACCATAATTACTCCCAATCTTTGTTTGTTAAATAATAAATAATTATTTGCCAACTTTTTTGCACAAAAATAAAACTTATAATTAATTTTGAAAATTTCACTCCTTCATTACATTCCTTTCTATTAGCATGTAAAGGTGTATGGGAAATGAATCAATTCCATTATTTTTAAGCATTTTAATTATTTGCAAAAATTTTTGAAGATAAATATGATTATTTTCATAAAGAAAAAAAAGAAGGAAAAATTGATTTTTTATGAAATTGTTTTTCAGAATTTGTCAACTTCTTTAATATCTCTTTTTAACTGAACATTCTAATTCATTTTTCTGTCTCTTTCTTCCTTTCTTTTTTTTTCTTGCTTTGTTTACTTTTTCTTTTTGTCATTACAAATTTAAAAAAGTATATTTTTTTAAAGTTATAACTGCTAATGTTGCTTTTACTCAGTTTCAGTAATTTGACCCAGAGGTCATTTTTAGTGTAATAAAAATGACGAAATCATTGCTTTCGTAACTTTTAGTAATTCGATCAAAGCTGTCATTTTTGATTGTAGAATGATTGAGACTGGAAAAGAGTAATCGAATACTTCCCTTTCTTCTTTCATCTTTTACCATCTACCTATCAGTTTTAAAATTTAAAAATTTTTCAAAAACTGTTTCAAATTTATTTAATTTATTAGCAGAATAAATTAATTCCTTTTCTTTCTTTGCTTTTCCTTTTTTAATTTTTTACAAAATTTCCATTTTATACGAATTTTTTGTTCAAATATTTTAGTGTATAAAATAAATTTTAATTTTCAATTTTTAATTATAAACTTTTAAAAATAGTAATGTTTTTAGGATATTATTAATTTGTTTTGCTTTTTTGAATTGAACAATTATTGAAAAGGAAAAGAAAGAAATAAGTTAAGTAATCTTTTTTTTTTTTAAAAAATTATTATTAAATTTAGGTGCGAATCAAAAACGTATTTGGCAATTATTGCAAGAATTACGACAACGTGAAGGTAACAATGTACTGAAAGAAGATATACGTATACTTAAACGTGTCCTTCAAGATCTTACTTTTCAACAACAAAATTATAAGGTTAATCATTTTAGTATTCTTCATTTAAATTAAATTATCATATAAATTTTTTTTTGTCATTTTCTTAACGTTATTTACGTGATTTATTTATTATTACGCATGTATTTTTTTCAAAGAATAATCTCTAAAATTTGATAAATTTTTCTTTCAGCCAATACATCAACAAATATTATACTAAAACAAAAAAAAAAAAAACCTAAAAAGATGTGACCATAAAAGTACTTTGTTATTCATATTTACTTTACTTTAATCATGCAATATTAGTATTGAAAAAATTGTTTGATCAATGAATAAATTAAAATAAAATGATGCTAATAAGCTTCTCAGAATTGATAATAATAATAATAATAATAATAATAATTAGGCCTTAGTTTTGTTCAATAATCATTCAAAATGACAAATACACATTTCTTTCAATAGAATTTCGGGTTAGATTGTGTACAATTTATTGTCAACATTTTATAATCTTTCATTAACTACTTCGCATTTTTTTTTCTTTCCGAGGAACTTTTAATGAAATTTTATTTTTAAGGAAAAAAAAGCAAAGTTTGAAAAAAAAAAGCCATTAGAATGAGATAGTATTTACAAATTAATTGATTGAAAAATTGTTATTGAATGAAATTAAATTTTGAATATTAAAATAAAATTTTAAAAAAAATGAACTTAAATTTTTCTTCATACATTAAAATAAATTTTTAAAAAAATAGATTATAAAATTTCGAAATAAATAAAATTTTTTGAGGAAATTTAAGTGCACCAATATTATTAAATGATAAAATGATTTGTTCGGAATGATAAGAATATTAATTTTAATTAGTTTAATTTTTCACCTTTTTTTCTTATTTTGCAGAATTCATCAAATTCATTCCTTGAAAAATCTATCATACAGCAATTGTCAACTCATCAAACGACATCGTCACCATTAAAATTGCGCAAAGTGAAAATTTCAGGTGAAATTTAATTTTCTTTTTCAGCTGTTTTTATAACAAGTTCCTAATTTTACTATCTTATATTGCATAAAATTTTTCCTGAAGATTTATTTTTATTTTTTACTTTTTTAAAAAAAATTCCCAATTTTGTTATTTTATATTCCCAAAAATTTCCTAAAGCATATTTCCTAAAGGCGCATTTGTCGCGTATTTCAACAGATTAATTCTCCCATATTTCATCTTTCCTTTTTCTTCTTTTTGTCCCTCATGATGACTT